AAAAAGAAAATGGTTAATTTGATGTCAAATTTCATTTCAAAACAGATGATTTAGAATGATTTTTTTTATTGGAAAAGATCAAACTAGGATCGGAATAAACGGGGTAAAACACCAAGACACCACAGCTCTAGGGTCTTTTCTTTTGGTTTAACAATAAATGCATGAGTTTGTTTGTAGTAAACGGAGTCAAAAAAAAACACTAAACTAAACAAAGCTCAAACACACACACACACACACAAACACAACATATGCACACCAATTTTTGAGACCTATGGACCAATTGGCAAAAAAAAATGCTCGATACCACCGATAGTTGTGTGTAAAGTTCAGTTTGACACAATATGTTCCCAAATAAGTTTCTCTGTCCCTATGTGTGTGCATATGTGTGTAATGGGCTTTTGTCCCAAGGATCAAGGCCATAAACACACAATTTATTTATTTCGGATTGGCGCTCACGATTTTACACTGATTGATTGATATATCTGATGATCAGTGAATGAATGTAAGTTATTTTTTGATCTGTAACCATCCAGTTTTCACACACCTATTCAATGGATTCTGTATATCTTAACCATTGTGGTAAGAAAATCAGCAAAAAAAAACTTACATGATTCAGGAACATGAAAGAAATTTTTTTTAACTACTTCAAAAAACAACAAAAGATCTTATTTTTTGGGGGAATTAATTGCGGAATAGCAAAGAGAGAGATATTCAAGGAAAAAACAGTAAGCAAAAACAAAAATCATCATAATTTCGCTTATATTCATTTCCAATGAATGAATTTTCGCTGTTGATTGAATTTTTTTTCGTATAGAAAATCGAAAACAAAATTGTTGTTAGAATCAGAATGAATGAAGATTATAAACACACAAAAACAACAGAATTAAATTCAAAAAAATAATGGAATATTCGAATACTGCAATCGATATAATCGATTGTTTCGTTCTGTTTGCGTTTAGAAACCTATTGTCATCCATTACGACGATTAGCATGATATCAAAACAGATATGAAGACATTCGATTGAAGATAATAAAAAGGAACAAAAAATACCATACCATAAAAATTTGTCGACGTACAAAAGAAAAGGAAGTAATTTGTGAATAAGAAAAAAAGTTGAGCGAATTTTTTTTTCAAAGAACTTGTGGTTATTTTTTCATATTTGATTGAATGATGACCAAATTCATTGTCGTTGGTTGATGGTATCGATGTGGCCAACTGAAAATCACCTGAGAACTGTGAATATATCAATATGAAGCATGAAACATGTGAGAATTTTGTGGCTACAAAGTTGAACAATGAAAAAATATAGCGGACATGGTCGTCTGTTGAATATTAGATGAAAAAAAATTCATCACACACAATCACGGCACAAAAAGATACACAACAAAAACAACACATGATTCAAATATAAATTCTTTTTTAGAATTAGAAAACCCACCATAAATATAAAACAATAAAAGAAACGGAGAAAATTTGTCGAAATTCAAATGCTGCTGGAAGAATCAGTGATCGTTTCAAAATATTAAGCTGTGCATGTTTTTTTTTTATTTATTCTGGTCGGTTTTCGTTGTGTGTGTGTGTGTGTGTGTGTTGAATTGCTTGAATTTTTTTTTGTTGTTAACACACATACAAACACGATATACGCGTATTCGTCGTCGTATTTGTAATATGATGATGAAAAAATAAAACTATGACCAATAATGATGAGAATAAGTGTACTGATAATGATGATGATGATGACGACTACGACGACGACTCTAGAAAAGGATTCTTTCTTTCTTCTGGATTTGGTTATTGGATATATTGTTTTGAAGTTGTTTTTCACATCAAGCGCAGTCTCCTCATCATCATCGTTATATATTTGTTGTAAGAATTTTCTTTTTACAATTCATATAATCGCAGTTGTTGACGTTGGTTCGTTGTGTGTGTTTGTGTGTATGTAGAAGAAAATGGATAGAAAAAAAATACCGAGTAAAAAAACCGAATATACACACATACACTCAACAAAAGAGCAGAAGACAATGTCGTTGTCGTCGTCGTCGTTGTTGTTGTTGTTGTTGTTGTTGTTGTCGATGGAGAGAAAAAAAAAAGAATCCACTTGCACAACAGTGTAGAAAAAAAAATAGCGAATTGAACATTCAACAAAAGAATGCACAACAATGAGAAAGCGAGAGATAGAGAGAGAGCAGAAGTATACAAGGCTACTCTGTATTATACATCATATAAAACCACTACCCTAAATTACGATAAGTTCCAAGATTATTTTTACGCATGCGTATCGTTTGGATATTTTTTTTTTTTTTTTTGCAGAGGAAGATATGATATTGTTGTTAGTTGTTGTGTAAACAAGAAAGAAAGAGGGTGAGTGATCAATTGCTTCCATTTTTCATTTTTTTCTCTCTTTCTTTCTTTCTTGTCGTTTTCCAATATAGATACACCTTTTTTTTTCTCTGATAATAATGAGTGTATATGTGTATATGCGTGTGTAGTGATGAATGATTATCATCACTATATACCACTATGTTGTACAATGATGATTCGGTTGTATTTCGTTATTACAGAAATGATGAACATGTCTACCATTTCATCATATCATTAGTATATCCAAATGGGACTAGCGGCTGGCTTTGGCAGTAGCATAGGGACTATCATTTATGGAACAAAATGTGGTTGTTGTTGTTGTTGTTCCAATGAAATCAAACTTTGAACCATATAAACACACACACATGTACTTATTCTTTATGTATCGACCCAGGCCAGTCTTTATCATTTATTCGCACCCTCCACACACACCCACATGCACCAACAAGGACCGTCATCATCATTGCCATTCACATTCTACATGGGAATAGCAAAAAAAAAAAAAAAAAAGCGCGTAATGATCATCATTTGTTTCATCCGAATTCGAATCAACCAACCAACCAGCCAATTCATTTCATAACAAACACATACTATATGGCCTATGTTTTTTTTCCATCATAAATGTCGTCGTTCGGTCGTTCATTCATTCATTCATTCATTCATTCAATCCGCGATCTGATCCAATCTTTTTGAAGGGGATGGGATTCTGGTCTCATTTGTTCCAGTGAAGAATATTTTTTTTTTTTGGAAATACCAAAAAAAAACAGAGTGAAATGTTCCAGTGAAAGGCTCCCATTTATCGTGTGATATGTTATGCTTGAGCCTGTGAAACATTCTCATCTAAAAGTATAAATTATGACTAATCCAAGTTCTGTAGTCGAGAAGAAGAAAAAAAAAGAGAATTTACAATGACGATGATGATGATAGTGTTGAAAGCTAACAAAAAAAAAAAAAAATAAAATAAATAAATTCGGAACAAAACACCCAATTTTAAAATTGCAAAAAAGGCGGCAAAAAAAAGAAAAGAATCCAGTAATGATGAACCCCTAAATTTCAAATGAATCAAAAATTTTATTCTTCCAGGATTCAAAATCTATTTCGTTTTCTGGTGACAATGGTGATGATGTAATCGAAAATCTTGCCACCAATAATTTTGGTTCAAAACAACGAAACAGACAAAAAAAACTAATGATGATAACCAGAATGGAATTCACCTGAAACGAGATTTTTTTTTTTTTTTTGGATAATTTTGACATCATTAAATTTGACTGTGTGGAGCTAATTTTTGTTTGCGAGAACGCGAGAGAGAGAAAGAAAGCTTAAAATGAATGAATGATGATCATCCAATGGATATTTTGGATCATCATCAACTAACGTGATCCCAAAATGAAAAAAATGTGTTACCATACTGGTTTTTCACAAGCAATTTTTCAATTTAAAATACCAAATAGAAATATTTGGATCGAAAGAAATTTTTTTTTTTGCTGCAATGATGAAAAAAGCAAAAACAAAAAAAAAGGCCGAACCCAATCTTTTCTTTTTGTTTTTTTTAGGGATGTAGTATATTGTTCTGCCCATTCTATACAATGAAATGTGGAAGAAACGAAAAGAGATAGTGGGTTGTCCTTGCCTTGCTTGTTCTATAGTAGTAGATAGTAGATTAATATTAATATGTCATATGGTTATGTATCAGGTTCTATTGTTTTATATGCTGATCGATAGATGGCCGTATTGGTTCCACCAATGTGTGTGTGTGTAAATTAAATTGAAAAAAAAAAATTAATCGGTATACTAAGTTCAATTTTTTTGATTAGAAATCGTTAATGATCATATGTTAATAGTGTGCGTATCAGGTAGTCAGGTATTTCAAACATTACAAATCTAATCTAATCTGATACATATATGTGTATAAAAATGATGAAATGTGGCGCTACAAGCGTTATTTTTTCTAATACGTACATTATGATCATCTCATTTTGGATTGAAAAATAATCCCTCCCATTTTATCATCGTCATCATCATTACATTATAGTAATACGCATGCGTATGTTTATGGATGTGTTGTGTTTTTGTTTATATCTCTCAGTGTGTGTGTGTGTCTGTGTGTTTTTGTTATGTTGTAAGTTGAATTTTGTTGATGTCGAATTTGCAATGGATGAAAAAAAAACAAAGAAATTCTTCTATTGTTTTATATGCTGATCGATAGATGGCCGTATTGGTTCCACCAATGTGTGTGTGTGTGTTTAAATTGAAAAATTTTTTGATTAGAAATCGTTAATGATCATAAGATCATCACAACAATGATGATGATCAATAAAATCATGCGGACATATTACAGTACATAATATGTGTGTGCGTATCAGGTAGTCAGGTATTTCAAACATTACAAATCTAATCTAATCTGATACATATATGTGTATAAAAATGATGAAATGTGGCGCTACAAGCGTTATTTTTTCTAATACGTACATTATGATCATCTCATTTTGGATTGAAAAATAATCCCTCCCATTTTATCATCATCATCATCATCATCATTATAGTAATACGCATGCGTATGTTTATGGATGTGTTGTGTTTTTGTTTATATCTCTCAGTGTGTGTGTGTGTCTGTGTGTTTTTTTATGTTGTAAACGTTTTACATACGCACTTTTTTTTTGGTTTGATTTGATTTGGTTTCGTTATTATTATTATTCGAAATCATCATCATCATTTTAAAATAGCCCATCAAGTAACACAATAATAAACTGATTTTTTTTCAATTGGTCATATACTTACACATGTATGACAAACAAATTGTGTGTGTGTGTGTGTGTTATTTATCCGCATCAACATTATCATTAGTAAATGTATAGAGAAATGTATGAAATGTGACATCATATCATCGTTATATTAAAAAAAAAAAAAAAAATCTCATCATCTACCTACACCTTATGCTACATATACAAACATATTAAATAGATAAATAATAAATTTTTTTTTTGTTAACATTTAGTCCACTCAATTTTTAATTGGTGATTTATTTTTCTCAATAATCAATAAATATAAAAACATTGTCACCTTTGAAATTTATTTACCTGAAACGTCATTTGAATTTTTTTTTCGTTTTCAAACGTCAATCTTGAATATCAGAACATATACAACGCATCACTAGTCTCATTTTTTTGTTTGGAAAAAAACACTGCTTAAATTTTTTTTTTTTTTTCATTTAAAAATTCAAAATAACCACAAAAACCATAATCATGGCTATGGCATCGAACAAATCGTTTAAACAACGTCGATCATTTGGTAAGTTTTTGGAATCTTTGATTCGATTTACCTTCGAGTAATCTAATTTTTTTTTTTTTTGGTTCTGATTTAGCCTTGCGAAAACAAGACATTGATCAAATTCGTCAAAAATATCCGGATAAGGTAATAACAATGACATTCCTTTTTATTTTTTTTTTTTGTTGACTCATTGATGATGATTTCATTCATTCAAAAATATAGATACCAATCATTGTGGAACGTTTTCATAGTGAAAAACAATTGCCCATATTGGACAAAACCAAATTTCTAGTGCCTGATGTGATAGTTCTTGGTGAATTCAATAAAGTCATTAGGTTAGTTAATATTTATTGATTTTTTTCTCTGAAATAATCATCATTCAATAACCAAAAAAAAAAAAAAAAAAAAGACGACGATTAAATCTTCATCCAAATCAAGCATTCTTTCTACTGGTCAATGGACGTTCAATGGCATGTCAAACATCTACTATGGGTGAAATTTATGAACGTGAACGGGTAAGTAGTTGGAATGAAGAAGAAAAAAAAATCTTGGCAAAAACTATAATTCTGTCTCCGAAAAAAAAATACAGGACGAAGATGGCTTTCTTTATTTTGTGTATGCATCACAAGAAGTTTTTGGCTGTTGAATATGAATGAATGAATGTATAACAAGAACAAAAGTTGATTCACCTCATCCTTAATGGAGAATATGCAATCTCAGCGAAAGAACAATAAACATCGACAACAACAACAACGGCCATTATCAGTTTCGAGATTCAAGAATATGTGGACATGTTTATCAAACACAAAACACCATTTACCGGATAACGACAATACACACATTTTCACGCAAATTCATTTCATTTTACAGCTAAACATCATACATATGTATCATAACTTTTGTTTTTGTTCTCATTTTTTTTCACGTTTTCTTTTCTCTCTCTCTCTCTCGCAAACAAAATATCACCTTGTGAATATATAAATAAATAAATAAATGAAAAACATTCAGGTCAAATGTCGACACACTGTCTATATGGCAAACAAACAAAAAAAAATTGATATGATATGATACGATCTTTGAATATTTTGATCTTTAATTTTTTTTTTTTTTTTTTGTTGTTAAAATGTAATGGCACAATATGATTGAAATCACATATATTCAGCCAAAATGAAAGAATTTTCAATTTGAATTTTGTCCCCCAGTGTATCTCATAAAAATGAAATAATTTTTTTCTCATGCCACAATAAATTACGAATTTGATTAGTTTTTCATTTTTTGTTTTTTGCGATTTTTGGTCAAAGTCAAACGATCATCATTGTCGGCAATCATCATTTTGTCTTATTGGCCTATCATAACACATTTATCACTGCGTAAACAGATCGTATGTTCATCATCATCGTCATTGGAATTTGAAATGATCTCCGATGATTTACGTTTCATCATTGTTAATTCTTCATCATTAGAATTTTTCTTCTTCTCTTTGGCTACGGTTGGAAATATGCAGAAAAGATCTTGTTCTGATTTTATTGAAAGATTTTTCGCTCTTATAAATTTCCTATAACTAATTGAAAAAATGAAATGAAATTTTTGGTAATAAATGGATCAAATTCTTACTGTAATCGATTACTGGATTTGGTTTTCTTCTCAAGATCTTTGATTTCATTTTTCTTCGCATCTGAATTATTCGGTGGTTTATGATATTTGGATAGATCGGATAATATTTGTTCATAAACATTATTATCTTCAATCCAATCATTGGATTTTGTTTTATAACCAAGACCTTTGTTGTCGAATTTGAAACTAGGTTTGATACTTTCTGTAATGCCTGTTTGATCTTTTCCCAATCCTTGACCTTCTTGCCAGCCCATCGATTCGAGCATTCGTTGACCGAATTTTTGTTTATCTATGGATTAATTCAGAATAAAATTTATTTGAAACACACAAAAATAAAATAATATCCTAACTTACCATTCGCCCATAATGTTCCACGTGGATTTGAATAAATTACTTTTTGTTTACGTTCAGCTAACATTTTGTTAATCGATTCGATTCGAATCAAATAAATTTGAAAATTAATTAATTTAAAATCCTAAAATTCTTTAAAAATGAAAAATCACACCAGAATAAACATATGTGACACGTGCATCAAATTTTTGATCGACAACGACATCTATCCAACGATCGATGAACTTGATGATGAATTTCGAATTCGAACGAAAAAAAAATTACAAAAAAAAATGAATAAGAAATTCTTGCCATCGTTAATTTTTTTTTCACGCTTGACAAATTTTTTTCAAAAGAAAAAAACTTTGAAAGATGGAAATTAATATCAACAAATTATCATCATCATTGATGTTGTTGTTGTTGGAATTTATAAACATAATTTTTTGGATCGTTGCATTGTGTGTGGCGACCACAAGAATAAAAAAAAACCCTAAATGATTGATGATTTTGGGAAGTGAATGAATTTTTTCTTTTTCTTTTTTGAAAATTGAATAGAATCGACGATATTCAAATGAAATGAAATGAGAAAGCCAAAGATGAAAAATCACTGTTTTTTTTTGGATGAAACTCAATCTATATTCACCACATAAACAAAAAACGCACACACACACACACCCACAAATAAACATCATCAATCCAACACACATAATAATAATAATTACTATTTCTACTTGCTATGTCCAATATACACCCACAACGAGAGATTCGATATTGTGAAATAGCAGAGAAAAAAAAAGTTTCATTCCGTAGAATTTCATTCATTCATTCATTCATTTGTTTACCCACCGTTTTCGTTTTCGTTTTATTACTGGATCCATTCCAGAATTAATTATCCAAAATTGTTCAATGGGTGTCGTGTGTGTATATGTTACTGTTTCAATCAACGAAAACGAAAAAAAATTTCTTCTTTTGTTTGCACTATGTGTGGTGTATTGCATGTGTGTGAATATTCACCGGAATTCATGGCAAAAGATAAATAGATTTGTCATTGCATTGAATTTTATACACGGTAAAATTTATTAGAATTTTTTTCCTCTCTATCCGCCTGTCATCATCATCATCGTCAGATGCAAATTTTTTTTTGGCCATGATGTGTAGTATAGATTGTTTATGGTTTCTGTGTAAATTTAATAAATTAATTTTTTTTTCTTGGTACCATCTGTTTACATATATATATGGAGAAGGTCAACATGGAATGATTATTATTCTTTGGATGATGATGATTCTATTCAATCAATCAATCGATTTGATCGGTTGTTGACTTGATGAACATCGATGATGATGGTATATTAATGAAAATGGATTCCAAAAAAAAACAACAACAACAATTCGTGATCCGGTAAAGACGCCAAGATAATCATGGCCAACATCATCATTTGGTAAGTTATTTTTTTCTTTCTTTCTTTCTTTCTTTTCGTATAGGTTGTTTTCCGGTTCTTTTTACAACAATATACAGAATATAGTCAAAAATTCAATTATATCGATTAATCGACTTTGGTTTTTTGCTTCTCATTTCTCGCTCGCCTACACACACACACACACACACACACACACATTAAGGAAATAGCAAAAACTAAAACTAAAAAAAAAAAAAAAAAAAGAAAAGTTTTTTCGGTCATTGGCTACAGAACAACATCAAAAAAAAACAAAATGCACACATCTGTCGTCGTTCACGGATTCTTATATATGTTCAGAATCGGGTCCATTAACCACACACACACACACACAATGAGTGACTGAACTATCAAAAAAAAAAGAGAATTTCACGAATCAAAATCTCACCATCACCGTCAACTAGTCTGCGCTATTCCATTATTTTTACACACAAACCCATTCAGAATTTTTAAAATTAAAATGAAAACAAAAAAAAATTCAAATCCACAAATGTGAATCAATTCAAATGTTTTTATTATTATTATTGTTTGAATGTCCATAATAACTTTATATATTAGTCAATTACATTGCCATTTTTTTGCATAAGTGTTTTTTGTGTGTGTGTGAAAATAATGGAATAATAGTGGAGAATCAGAATGAATTTAGAATCATAAAAAGGTAGAAAATGTTTCAATGTGATAATAAATAATGATGATGATGATGGTGAATTTTTTTTTTTTTTTTACCCTTCGAATCAAGTGAAAGCAAAAAGAATTGGTGAATTTTGTACATTTTAGTCGAATTTTTGATATAAGTAATAATAAGTGGTTTAATATATAAATTATTATTATTGATTTCAGCCAATTAATCATCAATATGATATATGGTCAGTTTTTTGTTTGTTTGTTTGTTTTGATGTCCAGTATCACAGTTGTTACAATATATATTCATTTTATAGTAGTAGTTGGAAATGATCAGGAGATTTGTTGGTAGTGTTTTCAAATACAAGTTCGTATGTTTACACCACGATCTGAATCGGACATTAGATTAATGGTGAAATTTTCATCAATTGTCATGTTCGATATGCAACCAATGAAACCTTTTTCATAATTATTGTTGCCAAAAATCATGGCCGTATTCTCTAGTCCACCTGTATTGATGTATGTGTGTGTGTGAAAAATTTTGAAAAAATTCTGATTGAATAGTCTTTAAAAAAAACTTACCAAGATAAAGTGCACTTTGAACATTATTATTATTATTATTATCATGATGATCATGTTCATCACCATCAATTAGGCCACGTACAGTGATATTATCATCAATATGAATGATTATTTGTTGTCCAATACGTATAACATTTAATCGATGCCATTGGCCATCATCGATACGTGTATTGTTAACAATGAATCGTTTGGAATTTAAATTGTGGCCACGTTTATTATTAATGTCCAGATTTAAATCAACATTAATATGACCATCGTTCAAACCGATGGTTAAATAATCACGATTTTTGCGCCATGATGATGATTCACCAAACCATAGAATCAGACCGCTTGAACTATGCATGATGATGCAAAGGCAGCAAAAAAAAATTCACCCGTTCATTTTAGAGTGTGAACAAAAAAACGATTAATAATTAATGCCATGCGATCGATAATTAATTTGTTCCGTTAATTAACTAACTGGGTGTTAATTAACTATTTCAAGAATCAATTAATTACCTAAAAGCTCGAAGATTAAGATGAATGATTGTCTTTAGGCCACGTATTCGATTCAATATGATTGGATTGGAATAACGAAGAAAACTATTACCATAAAACATTGGATATGATGATGATGACTGTGACGGTGATGATGATTCGGACCCTGTATTGACTTTGGATTTTTGTTTGGGATTTTCGTTTAAATTTTGTCACTGGTCACAACAAAAAAAAAATTCAACTTACGTTTAATTTCACAATGTTGTCCAATAAAATTTAAATTTGTTGAACAATGGCAATGATAATGATGTTTAATCGGTTCACAATGGCCATTATTTTGACATGGTCTAATCATATGACATGTATGTTGACAATTATCAATATTAACACCGGATAGTACATCTTCTAATAACGATAATTGATGACCATTGATTATGATTTTTTGTATACAGCCATGATATAATCGATTGGCTAGTACATTATGATGTATAGCATTTAGGCTTGTTACACCGCCAATATAAAGATTTAATGGTAGTGTTAACTGTGTGAATGCACCCAATGATTGGCCATGGGCAATAGGTTGATCATCCACTCGTAGTAGACCTTCACGTCCTGTTCTTGTTGCATAAATCGTATGCCATTCTTTCATCGTTATTTTCTCCGGACTCCTGTCAAATATGAAGAAATATTTTATCATCATCAATTACATCATCTTTTGCTAATTTTCATTTATCATTTCATATATAGTGGGTGATAAATTAAAAATACCTTAGTATGGCAGCACCAGTACCAAGATCAAAACGAAATTCAACATAACCATCCACTAGATTTAATGAAATAAAATCACCAGTTTTATCCATTCTTTCACCATTGTAAAGAAAAAGACCATCCTGTTTATATGGTTTGATTATGATTAAAATTTCACTAAACATTGTTGATTGATCACCAAAACCGATAAATTGTAAATATGATGATCCATTGAATGATGGTATTGAGAATTCAATTTCTGATTTAATTCATGATGATTAAAATAAACGAAAAAAAAATGAATAAAACTGGATTTTTGGATAAGATAAACAAAAAAAAAAATTCAAACATACGTTGTTCACAATATTCGCCCGTATATCCCAATAGACAAATACATTGTTTATCATTATTTTCATTAACAGTACAATGGCCACCATTCAGGCAGGTGACATGATTACATGCATCCGAATTACATTGATCTAACGGTCAACAAACGAAAAAAAAATTGAAAATTGAAATTATCATCTGCCTCATCATTATTTGTTGCCGTAGGGTACACAACAACAACAACAACAATAAAAAAAAACGGTTGACCTATTTGTACACCACACACACACACACAATACAAACTTACCAATATCGATGCCATCGATAGTATCATTATAAAGATCATATTGACGATCATTAATCATCAATTGACGTACACAGCCAATCAATCCTTTATTCACATTGATACGATTTACAATTTGTGATATATTTGGTGATCCACCGAGAAATGTTTCTAAACGGAATGTAATTCTTGAAAATAATCCTTTTGAATGGCCAAAAATTTGCTGCCCTTGATTCAATTGCATCCATGCATTACGGCCATCACGATATATATCAATTGTATTCCATGAATTCAATATGATAGGCATATCACTACGGATTATTCCTTCACCCATACCACAATCGAAACGAAATTCAATAAATCCTTGTATAAGAATGATGGCTATAAAATCACCATCAAGATTAGTCTCTTGACCACTGTATAGCAGAACACCATCATAGGATTCTGGTTTGAATTCAATATTGATTTTTAATGATCGATGAGCATTTCTTAGTGTAGGCAATGCAAGATATGATGATCCCATGAAATGTGGCTGCTTCACTTCAATTACTGTGGAAAAGAAAATCGTAATTTCCATTAGTTGGCATTAGTTTCTTAATTGAAATTAATAGAAAAAGAAAAAAGAGTTAGAGGCTTAATTTCACTTACTTTTTTCACAAAATTGTCCACCCCTTCCCAGAGGACATTTACATCGAACTTTTTGATGTTGTTGACGTTGCTGTTGTTGTTGTTGTTGATGATGATGATGATGATAATCAATATTATTCATTTGTATTGATGATTGTGGATTCTGTGATAAAGGCATAGTTTCAATACATACACCACCAGCTTCACATTCAATATCATTACATGAATATAATGATGATGGATCAATAATATTATCAATGGAAGATTTACTAATTGGATCATTATTGATATCATGATATGATTGAGGTATTTTTGTCGTCGGTGTTGTTGTTGTTGATGATGAAGGTGTTGATAATGGTAATGATTTAGTAGTTTGATTTAATACGATATTGGAAGATTGAATTTGTTTCAATGTTTTCAATGATGATGATGATGAAAATAATTGAAATGAATGATTTTTAATATCAATCATAGCTATACATGAATAGCCATTCATATGTAAATGATAACCATCTTGACAGGCACATTCAAATGTTCCATCATGTAGATCGAAACATAATTGTTGACATGGATTCGATATATGGCATTCACCTTGGAATGCAGCTTCGAATTCAATCCATTCGGTGGTCGATTTCGATTTTGTTGTAGGCGTCATACAATCAATTTGATTGATAAATAATGATGATAACAATAATGATATTATTATTATTAATGATGATGATGATAATGGTAAATTAAGGCCAATGTTTCGATGAATGATTGACAAATGATTATCATTATGATAATCATTTAATCGTCGACGACGACGTCGTCGTCGTTTGGATATTGGTAATATCCGTAATGATAATAGTAGTGAATCTAAATGCATTTTTTTAAAAAATGAAATTCACAACTATGGAAAACAATGAAAAATGATGAGAAAATGATGAGATGAAAATGAATCTCTGAACAATGAAGAAAAATATAAACTTTTCAATTATTTTTTTTTATTTATTTCCACTTTAAAAAAATTTGTATTTGCAAAAACAAAACAAAACAAAATGAACTGGAATCTGGTCAACAAACACACACACACACAACACACACCGAAATGAATGAATACGTTTAGAATTGAAAGAATATTTTCTTTTTCTTTCAATTTTCGGTGTCAGCAAAACATAAAAAACAAGTACAGAATATTATTATGTGAATAAACGACACACACACACACACACACACGACACGGCAAGTATACATTGAGTGAATTTTATTCCGGTTGCTTATGGCAGCCGTCACACAATTTGGGTTTTTTATTTTTATTTTTATTTTTGTCGGTCGATTAGGTTGCCTAGGTTTCCTTTGGCCGAAATTTGGGTGTTGTTCGTTTGGAAAATAAAACAGGTTCACACACACACACACACACACTATGATGACTACGTAGTCAAAGAAATTTTTCTTTAGGATTCACATTGACAGATGTGTATGAATTTTTGTTGTCGTTTGAAAGAAAGAATTTTTGAAAAAGTGAGAAATTCATTCATGAATGGAAACATTTTTCAAAATGAAATGGCCAGCCAGCCAGCCAGAATAGCCAGACGGACAAATAAACAAACAGTTATTTCTTTTTTCTTTTAAAAATTCAAAATGTGAATAAACAAACAAACAAACGAAAAATGAAATGGAACCAAACCATCATCGGGAAAAAAAATACAAAATACACACAACAACAATATACCAATGAAAATGAGAAAAGCCGAGCAGCATTTTATAGTCATAATAATAATAAAAAGACAGAGTAGAATGTTCAATTCTATATCTGTTTTATTCATTCATTCATTCATTGTTTGGTTGTTCCAATTGGATATCCAAAAAAATGAAATAAAATGGATCGACGCACATACATCACCACAACAGTGACTATATGTATGTATGTTGGAACACTGTATGTTCATTTGAATCATCATCATCATCATCTCATATATGAAACTATGGTCAATCTATATATAACATGGATATAGATAGAAGATATATGATGATTCTGCTTTTACTTCTTGCATTTTCTATGCACCTTTTTCATTACTTTCCATAGTAGTTTCAATCTCTGGGGAAAATTCTAGGCTAGTCCAATATATAAACTAGAACCAAAGAATATTTTATGTGTGTGTGTGTGAATAGAATTGGATAGAAAAACAGTGAAAACTGACGAAATTTTTTTTTATTCTGATATCAAAGATTTCATTTATTGTCAATGCAGGCATGTATATTAGCCAACCATTTCTCACCATCACCGTTACCGCCACCACTACCATCCAAAGAATGAAGCAAAAAAAAAAAAAAAAATTCCCCGAAAAAAAACCCAAAAGAAGCCAATCAAGTCGATATACAATCTCATTCTATTCACACACACACACACATACAAAATGATACGTGCTTATTGTCGTTGATTTTATATATTCTTGTCTAAGAATGGCGAGAGGGATAGAAAAAAAGAACTCTGAAGTAAAGGCAAAAAAAGGGGTTTGAATTCACTAGGGTATTTCAACATTGGCTTTGTTCATTCTCGTGTTGTTGTCGGTGGTGGTGGTGATGGTGGAAGGTCTCGGTATTTTTTTTCTCTTCAACAAGGTTCACCACCAATACAATACATTCACCCACACAATACAGACACACACACACACACACACACACACTTTAGCTTCATCACCCGTTAATTAATCGAATTATAACCAAAGAACAAAAAAAAAGAGAAGAAAAAAGGTTTTGCTCGTTAATTCTGGTTCATTGTCATCGTTCTCATGTTTTTTTTTACTGTTGTTGTTGTTGTTGTTGTTGGTTTATCGCCCTTTATGTGGTGGTAACCAGAATGCAGAATATAAATGAATTGGAAACAGTAACCAAAACACCCCTTTTTTGAATGTTGTTGTCGTTATTATTATTTTTGATTGAGCTTGATTGCTGGTTTAGCAGTTTTTGTGTGTGTGTGTATTTCCTCCATTCATCTCTTCCAGGCATTCATTTATTGTTTATTTTCTTCGTTTGATGATGATGATGATTTGGTTGAATTTTCAATCGATTTTTATTCGAGAGGAATGAAACAAAAAGCAATCGCTATAAAGCTATGATCAATTCGAATAGAACAGAACAGGAAAAAAAATTTGGTTCAATTCGTTTTACCGTTGTCGTTGTTATTTGTTCAATATGAATGAATATTGTTTTTTTTTTGTTTAGTGGTACAAAATGTTTTTTGGTCCATCTCTCTCAGTGTGTGTGTGTGTGTGTGTTCGAAAGAATTCTGCATACACAACTTATATATATACGATTTGGAATCATCATAGAATCCAGGAACACCACATAACACACTAACACACACGTTTCAGAATCGTTTTTTTTTGATTCCATTTGGCAAATTGCAATTGAAGAAGAGAAAAAAAAATTCTTGTTAGTTCACAAACACACAAATAGTGCGACACTATTTGAAAAAAAAAAATAAATCCTCTTACCATAAGAAATTACCGATTTTCACAATAAATTCTCACATCCATTCACCATGTATGATGATGATGGTGATGGTGATGAACGAATCAAAAAAAAAAACCACTGTAGATTTCTCTATAGTGATTGTAAATAACGGTTAGGAAAAAGCCAAATGCCAAAAAATATCTTGGGTTAATAGTTTGTCGGTCGGTTGGTCGGTCGACTGTTTGTGGGATACCATCGAATTTCCATCGAATTCAAATCAAATTCGTGTTTGATGTTTTCTGTACATGTGTATGTGATGTAGTCAAATAAATATAAATTCAACAAACCAAAATTCTAGTGTGCCAAAAATAGATAAGAACCAAACAAAACAAAAAGAAAAAATCATTTATCTTTGATGAAACAAAAAGTAGTTTTGATTTCAAGCAAAACAGAAATTTTTTTTTCTCCTGAAACTTTACCGATATATATACACACGCCCATGTGATTTGATTTTTTTGTTTTTTTTTTTTCGCATCGAATCAAAAAGAAAAACAAAAAAAAAAATCCAAAACAACAACAACAACAACAATGAATGAATGAATGGGACCCGAGGATATTCATTGGAGAAAACAGAAATACAAAACAAAACATCGGGACCCAATGAATGTTAAAAGTATATATATGAAAAAAAATGTACTTGTCACGCCATTGTCATTGTTTGTTGTCGTTGTTGTTTCATTCAATCATTCCATAAGAAAACATTGTCATTGATTCACTGTGTGGACATTTTTTTTTTTTCGTACTATGTACACATTTCGATCCACAGAAGAAGAAGAAGAAGAAGAAGACAAACGAAACAAATTCGAAATGAACAAACGGAACAAACAAACGGAAACAAAACATACAAAAACAGCGTCTTTGGAAAAATAGGAAAAAGAAAAAAACAACAATATAGTTCACATCACATTCGATGATGATGATGATGATGACGATGCATCAAATAGAATTCATCCATAGGATTGAATTCTATGGTTTGAAATCAAGATATGGCTAGCGAATGAAAAAAAAATATGTTCAGTATGTGTGTATAGTGTAGAGTTTGTTTGTTTGTTTGTTTGGCTTGTGTGTTTGACGATTCATTTCATTGTATGGGTGTCAATTGGACATTATCTTTTATCATCATCTCATCATCTGGTATATAAGAAAAAAACATACAACAACAACAACAACAACAAACTATAAACGGTGTTGTATACCAGCAGAATATTGTATGCATTGGTGGTTGAATTACACACACACACACACACACATCAATGGTCAATGTAGAAAAATCCAGCCAGACACGACGATGACGATAACGAGAATGAATCCATTCAATTTATTTTATTATGTGGATTTTCCGTGCCATGTAACCATTATTGTTGTTCTCTGTGTGTGTGTGTGTGTGTGTGTGTAAGTAGAATCCCGGGCGCAAGAATAAATGTGAATGAAAAAATATAAAGAAAAAATGTCGAACACGAATGGTAGAAAATGGCCACATTGGATAGTAAAACACTCATCAATTGATAATCATGATGATGGTTGATGATCATCATCATTATCATTGATGATGATTGTTGTGGCTTGTGAACAAGAATTCATTTTTTTTCTCTTATTCTTAAAATTCTGTTCTATATGTTTTGTTGAGTGATCATCAACCTGATCATTTTTTTTGCGGTCATAGATAATAATTTTGATTATGATGATGATGATGATGATGGACGTGATTATGATCATGATCATCATGATTATCATTGTTATCATTATGGTTGATTGTGGCCATAATCATTGAGGAAAAAAAATGGCAAAAAAAACAATAATAAAAAAAAATCATCAATGATGATAGTGAATATGATCATCATAACATGAAATCATCAGTGATAAGTGGTATTTTTTTTTTTTTGTTTGTTTGTTGGTTATAACGATAAATTGGCAAGAATATTAAGAATTTTATTGCCGCTATAACCGAGATATCATTGTTATGTAATAATAATGACAATTGGCATTCAATTTATTTATCGTTATGATTATTATTATCATTATCGAATCATTTAAGAATCAAGAGAGAGAGAGAGAGAGAGATTATGAAAAGAATATTGATTGGATTCCAAGGAAACAACAATTTTATTGGTTGTTGAAGAATATTATTTCTCTATATATAAAATTCTACCTTTATCTAGATTCTTATGGCGGAGAATCTCAAGTGGAAACAAAACAAAACAAAGAATTGACTGGATGATGCTTTCATGATTATAATTAGTGATTATTTATGATCAAACGAAACGATCGCTATTATGATGATGATGATGATGATATGTTGATAATGATGATTGTAACCAGGAATCGACATTTCAATGAGAAAAAAAAACAAAAGAATAGAAATAATGGCCATGATGATGATGATGATGATATCGGTAAAATGTGAGATTCTCGGCATGTTTGTGTAACAATGTAATGATAATGTAATTGTTTTCTGCTGTTTTTATCGTGTTGAAATGATTCTCTAGAGAAGAGAGAAAGGGAGAGAATCTGTTCTGGATCAACTGAAATGAATACCAGGCCATTATATGCGAAGAGAAAGAAAAATGGATTTTTCCAAAAAAATTCCAGAGCAGCAATAAGAATGAGATCCATTTTAGTATTAAGCTCGATTCTGTAGTACATAGGTTAATAGTCGTTTTTTTTGCTGTTGTTTATTGTTATACAAAATGACAAATTATCGATTCTATAGAAAACAATCGATGTTTGTTAATCGATTAATCGTCATTCGAATCGAATCAAATGAATTTCTAAATGAAACGAATCATCAGTCCATTATTATCCCAAGAAAAAAAAATTCTACGAATCCAATGAAATGAATTAACTAGTGAATGAATGGTTTCTTTTCGTGGCAATAAATATTTCATGTTTGGGCCATTCTGTGTGTGTGTGTGTGTTTTGCAATGCATCTCTAATTGGTATGGCACACATTCAGAGAATTTTCCATAGAATAACAAACAAAATTCTGTACAAACGGATGTATTGTGTGGGTGTGTGTGTGGCTAATTGAACAACTAGCCAGTATTTTACGAGAGAAAGAAAAAAACAAACCGAATCTCATCAAGTCCAATTATGAATGAATGTTTGTATTCTATATGTGTTCTTAAATAGTGAAAAAATGAGTGAATAATTTTTCGATTAACGCCTTATAAAGTATCTTAACATTTTCCTTTTTTTTTTTTTTTTGGTTTCTTTCATCACATTGTTTTTATCATCATCACCATCGTTTATTACCGTAATCGAAAAGTTTTCTTTCATCCAAACACACACCAATTTTTTTCCAACATGTAGGTTTTCCTTTCCCCACTCTGTAACACGATCGATGATTTTGGATCATCACGATTCTTTTTTTTCCCATCAGAATATTCTTCAATGATCAAATGAATTTAGTGAACAGAATATTTGTTGTAATAATAATAATCTATATATATTATTAATATATGTAATGTAATTGAAAGAATTTGAACGAGAAAATAATGATGAAATGAACTCGGAAATTGTACTCAAAAAAAAAAAATGAAAGTGACAGTGTGTGTGTGTGTGTGTGTGTATTCTCATGTGAACAAATACAGTACAGAATTTTAAATCAAATCAAATCAAAAAAAGAAAAGAGAAAAAATCAATTGCCATGGAACAATAAAAACGGTATAATCGTATCATTGGAGAAAAATCAAAAGCGGAAAAAAAATTGAAATTGAAATCGATCACAATTGTGAAGAACAAGAAAAATTCGGCATTTTTTGTTTTGTTTGGCATTGAATAATGAATTCTGCGATGTGTGTGTGTGTGGGTGTGCGTCTCGCTACTAATGATGTGTGATTAATGAAAAATTGTGTAACGGATGATTGTCTATCATATACATTTATATGTGTGTGTGTATCGGTTGTATCGGGTGTTTGTTCATCGATTGTGTAATTATAATTTGTACATGGAAATTTGTTTTTTCAACAACAAAAAAAAATTGCTCTAAAATTGCTTATGAGACCAAAAAAAAAAATGTTAGTTTATATCGTGGATAGAGTTGGTCAGTTAGTTAATTAGTTAGTTGGAAGAGAACAGAAAAAAAAATTCAAGTAACGAATAATGATGATGATGATGATCGAGGTGATTGTGTGGATGGAATCGATGGCTTTATGATCAAACAATAGAAAGAGGTCCAATGGTTATTATTTTGGTTATATTTATGGCTCTAAAGAGATCCAAAGATTGTGTGATGATGATGATGATGAAAATTTTTTTTTCGTTTTGTTTGTTTGATTAAGATTTTCTTCTTGAATTCTCTATTACCAATATTTCAATAGTGATCATCAATCAATTAGTTAATCAATCAAGAACGTGATGCCGTTTGTCGATGTCGATGATGACCACCACCACCACCACCACCATCTTCTTTACCGCTAAATGGAAATTCATTATTATTGAATTTAAAATGACGACGATCATAAAATTTTGATAATGCCGGACTATATGGATGATGACATTTTAGATGCATATAATGTTCTTCTGGTTGGCTAGTTGTACAACCTATATACGAAATAAAACAAAACAAAACAAAAAAAAAATAGTGAAAACATAAAGATTTATGATTAACGGGAAAATAAATGTAAAAAATGTCTACATGTCGTTGGTTATTATCATCATTTTTGTTTTGTTTTGGCTATTTTCTCTGTCACTCTCACTCAATCGGTTATCATCAATATGATATAATAATCATACGTATTGCACGTTTATTTTGCTCGTTATCATCATTATTTCTTATCATTCAAGGTGTGTCAACATTTCTTTTTTTTCATCATTATATCATTGGTTGATTCTCATACAGGAAAACAATAACGACGACAACAACAACAAAAATCTGTTTTTTTTTCTTGCTGACAAACGAAAGTTTTTTTTTACATGAGAAAAACCGTTGTTTGTCTGCAATTTTAAATAAAAAAAAAATGAGCAATGTGATGTGTATGATGTGAGGGCGAGCTTTCTCACATTTATAGAAGAAAATTTTACCTGTTTTTCATTTGTTGTTGTTGTTGTTGTTGTTATTTTCTTCCTTCTTTTTTTTCTATTGATTTTCATGTGCGTGTGAATGAGGTGAGATGACGAGCAACGGTCCAAACAACAACAACAACAACAACAGAGAGAGAGAAAAAACCTAATCTAACCGCCGTCACTAGAAAAAAAAATCTCAGACGACCAGACCCAGAAGAGAGGGTCAAAAGATTCGCATGCATCATTTGAAATATAATAAATGTACGTGATTGGCATGGCCTAAACGGTTAAGCAAGCAATGTGTCTGTGGTGTTTGAAGTTACAAAAACATCCAACTTCAACACCACCACCCAGACAGGTTTCAATGGTCGGTTTAAAAATCCTAGGTTAGGTATATTTCTTTGCTGTTGCTGTTTGTTGTTATGAATAATAAATAATAGGGTCATATTTTCACATCATAAACGTTGTGTGGATTTATGAAAATAATAATAATTGTATCGGTCATAGTTACAATAAATCACGAGAATTTTTACAACAAAACGAAAAAAAAACCACTTACCACATTCTTCACAGACATACATCTTATTACGACGTTCTTTATAACCATATTCATGTGCAATACCATGTACTTTTAATGTATGTGATTCTAATGAACAACGTTGTGTAAATGATTTGTCACATAGATTACAACGATATGGCCTAACACCTGTTGTTGTCCAAAAAATTCCATGACGAAAGAGAAAAAAGATGAAATAAATTATCATTAGTATATTAATTAACTAAACATCCGTTTTAAGTTATATAAAAAAAATCAAAGTTCATGAATACGTGTGTGTGTGTGTGTGCGTGTCAAACTACTAAAACAACAACTACTACACAGGAAGATGTTGAATGACCGTTGTGAACATAATTATCGACAACACAACGGTCATTAAAAATTATTCGTTAAACATATATAATAATAACTGTCTGTCTGTCTATATATAAATAAATAAATATTCTAAGGTGGTGATGTGTTTTTAGTATATCAGTTTGGTTTATTTGTTTGGCCACATTTTCTCACGTTTACCTGTATGAGTACGTGTATGTCGTTTCAAATCGAATGTATCATTAAATCCTTTACCACAGAATGTACAAAGATAACGTTTTATATCTGAATGACATTTTAGATGACGATTAAGTAGACGTGCCAATGTAAAACGTTTACCACATATTGAACATTTTAATGGATCATCGGATGATTGATTAAACGATGATGATGATGATGATGTGGATTTATTATTACTATTTTCGAATCCAAATTGATGTTCATTAGATGATAAAAATGGATTCTTTATACCATGGCCACCATTTACAAATTCTAATGTGGAAATTAAATTTAATGGAATGCCTAAAACATGATTTTAAAAAAAAAAAATTGTAAACAAGAAAAAAAAATTAATTAACAGGATGTTTTTTCTATGCATGAAATGTGGACAAAAAAAAGTACATAGCCTATATATGTATGATATATAGTGATTAATTTACCTAGTCTTTGTGCAGTTATATGTACAGGTGGAAGATTATTTGTATCCGATTGTGATGACGATGTTGATGATGGTGTTGGAGATGGTATCGTATTTGTTATATTCGATTGTATTAGTGGTGATGGTAATGGTGATATTGATGGTGGTGGTGGTGGTGGTGAAGATATCGTTGATTTCGTTATCGTTTTTGAATTTGATTTTTGATTATTATTATTATTACTGGCTGATTCTGATGTTGATGAAGCGGCGGCGGCGGCGGCAGCAGCAGCGGCAGCAGCAGCAGCAGCAGCAGCTAATGCAACATTAATCGGCGTACCAGGATAAAGACTTGAAGCGGCTGTTGCTAATGCTTCTAATGAATTATTATTATTATTACTTTGTTGTTCATTTCCATTCGATTGTTGTTGACCATCATTGGATACAATATTATTATTATTATTCAAAGATAATGATTGCGATATACAATGATGATGTCCACCATTTGATGTCTGATGTATAACGGATGATCGTTGTTGTTGTTGTTGCTGATGATGGTGATGAGCTATAAAAATAAAGGAGAAAAAAAAGAGAGAAAGGAAATGGTCATTAATTAATCAAAAAAAAAGAAAAAAACGGAATTTGTTATATTCAAGACCAGTTTTTTCTTACATTTTCTCACACTTTCTTATACATTCAAACAAAAAGTGTACTATGTAAAAATGTCTAGCTAAAATTCATAGTCAAACACACAATCTTTTCGCATCAGTTATACGTGTGTGTGTGTGTGTGCGCGCTATAATTATACGTACAATTCGCAATGATGATTGAAAGAAAAACTGGCTCCCACCACCACCATCATCATCATTTTTTTTGTTGCTTCCAAGCATCCCACACTGTATGATTTATTCGCATTTATTGCAAACCTGTTTTTTTTTCTATTTTTCGTCGCGACGAGTATATATAGTGATTATACTATTGAAACAAAAAGCCTTTGACCAATTTCAATGCCAAGGGCTTTTTATATTATCATCATTTTTTCAAGTAAGCAACCAATATTTTGCCATTGAAAGTAATAACGAAAGCAGCAGCAGAAGCAGCAACAAAAAAAAAAAATTATCATTAAATAATGGCTAGTGGCTGGCTAGCTTTTCTTTCGTTTTTTTTTTTTTTTTTTTGTTCTGGTGAGAAAGTGATGATCATCACTTTATTGTATATATCTGACTTAAATATTGGCTCCCAATATATGAATGTGGTTTGACGCTCAACTCGCACACTGGAATGAAATGAACTAAAAGACAATGGATAACCCTCTTTTTTTCACTCTTTCATTTTGCGCAATCATGTTTCGAATAATTATTGTTCCAACATACAAAAAAAAAAAAAAAAAATCTTACCATTATGTTCATTCTTTATGGATGATGATGATATCGTAGTGACATTCGTTGTTGATGATGTATTGGTCAATTGTAAACGTTGATGTTCATCAATTGAAACCAGATTCAAACGATTAGAACAATCAATTGCTCCTTGATGATGATTTAGTGGATTTAAATTTACGTTATTATTATTATTATTATTCGTTATTATGGATGGAATTGAATGTATACTAATGGATGATGATGATGGTGGCCGTGATGGTCGTTGATTTAGATATGAATTAAGCGCATTATTTAGCAATGATGATGATGTGGATGATGACGATGTTGATGATGATGATGAGATAATCCTGTTTTTTTTTGTTGTTCATTTGGATAAAAAAAATGGAAATATTATTATTATTCACCTGTATTTGTATACAATTTATTCATTATGAATCAATTCATGAATGATGAGAATTCGAAAAAAAATGACATGTCATTTGTGTATGGGTAAGAAATGTATGTGTGTGTGTGTTTTTGTTTGTTTATTTGTGTGCAATAACGGAATTTCGAATGTTTCAAAATCAAATTCGTTTGATTTATTGATGATATAACAACTTACCTTTGATATCGAAATCACTTTCACTTGAATGATAACTTAATGGTGATGATAGACCACCATAACAATGAATTGATGTTGATGTTGATGATGAATATGAACAAGATGATGAATTTTCTGATGTTGATATATTACGATTACGTTTACGTGGATGATGTGAATTGAATGGTGGTGATGATGATCCAGATGATAAACTACTACAGGTAAGATCAACAGCTTCTTCATCCATCATATTATCATTATTATTATCAATAGTAGATTTATGATGAAAATTTTTATTTTTTAAATCTAATGCACCAATATGATCATATCTAGGTTGTTGTTGTTGTTGCTGCTGCTGCTGCTGGTATTGCTGCTGTTGCAGGTGTTGCTGATGTGCAGGTAAAATATTTGATTTTATCGACAAATTTTCCGGTTCATTATCATCTGGACTTGGTGGTGGTGTAACAGGTGACCAACCAGATTTTGGTTGTATCACATGATGATTATTATTATTATTATTATTATGATTTAATACCGGATGATGATTTTGAAATTGTTGTTGAAGATGTTTACGAATAAGGAATGCTTTCGGCATTTTTATTTATTTTTTTTTTACAGAAATATAATGTCACATTCGAATTATAACGGACAACAGAAAAAAACAAACGACGGACACACTTGTTGTTGTCATACAAAAAAAAAATGAAATTCCAAACTATTGATTCTTGAAGTGAAACAAAACAAAAATCAATCTTCAATTTGTGGTTGTTGTTGTTGTTGTTGATTACCTAATCTCGATGATAGCTGTCGAACAACTGGCAATCAATATTTCGCGTGTGTGTGTGTACGTGAATTGTGCAAAAATAAATTGTGAAATTTGAAAATGAAGAAACAACAAAAAAAAAACCTGGCTAGTCGGTAGTCATCGACTGACTGAATCGTTTGCTTGGACACACACACACACACATACACACACACCGACCAACCAACCAGTAACAAACTAAGTAAATACCAATACAACAAACACATTGGCTGCTGGTAATAATGCAGACATACAACAACAACAACAACAACAACAAAAACGTGTTGCGCGCGCTAACAGTGAAAGTTTTTTTTTTTGCTTTCTTCTTCATTTCACTGTATATATATATATGATTCTCTTCATTCGCATGCAGGTTTCATCATCATCATCATCAACATATGTATGTAGAAGAGGAGGTGGTGGTCGCGGTTGGGTTGTAGATTGAAGCAAACAAAAAAAAAAAAAAATAAAAACAGAAAAACACTTGCTACGCCAGCTATGAATGATGATGATGTATTATAACGTGCGTGATTTGTTGAGTGAACAGAAAAATAAAACTGTTGTGGCTGGTTGGTGAATAATTTTTTTTTTTTTTTTTACTGGGTAGCTAGATAGGTAGGTAGGTAGGTAGGTAGGTAAGTAGTTTTACTGGTTTCTTTTACCATTGATTTTTTTTATTACGATTTTTTTTTTTTGAGAAAGTTTTTTGCAGGTATATTGGATCGCGGTCTGTCGGTCGATATGATATATCTGTACTACACCAACGTTATAGACGATGATGATGATGATGATGATGATGATGATGCTCATTCTGTTCATTCATGTCATCATGTATATTATTATACACGAACCGCATCCACTTGTTGAATTGAACTTATAACTAACACAGATTATAATACCGTAAAACAAGAATGAGAAATGATAAAAAAAAACCAGTGTAGTTTTGTTCTGTATTATTTATTTGAACTGAAATGAGATAACATAAGAGCTTCCGGTGCGATTTTTTTTCTATTTCTCCACCACCACCACCAGCAGCACCACCATTTGATGTGTGTTTTTTTTTAGGAATTTCAATATTAAACAAAACAACATATATAACAGGTTAAAGGTTAACTGGATTCTGATGAATAAAAAAACACATATGCACATGCACAAATATGAATGATGATGATGATGACTATTTGTTTATTTGACTAAATTTTTGTTTCAGTGCTTAGTAGTAGTAGTTGAGCATAATTGTGGTAGTAATATTATCGAGTTGATTCCATAAAAAAAAATAACCAAACAATCTATAGTCAGAAATCAAAAAAAAACAACAACAAACCCATAACTAATCAACAAAGATTCGACATTGATAAATAACAACATTTTCTCTCTCTGTGTGTGTGTGTGTGTGTGTGTGTAGGTCACTAAACCTCATTATATATTAGATATATATGTTTGTGGATGTCATAATTTTTTTTTGTTTAGTTAGTTAGTTAGTAATAATAACCAAATTTTTGTTCATTATTCAATATATCAGATGAAAATGAAATTTTTTTTTTTTTTTTTTGATTTCAGATGAAAACGAAAATTTCGGCCCCGTTTGTTAGCATCTATTCATCAATTTAATAAGAGATGAGGCAAAACATCCAAATCAATGAAAGAAGATGGAGAAGAAGAAGAAAAAAAAACCTGCTCGACAACAACCTGTGGTATTGGTGGTGGTGATCTTGCGTTGGCCGAAAAAAAAAAAAAATCTGAAAATTCCAACGATAATCATTACATCTATGGATGGTTATCTATCATTTTTGTTCGAATTTTTTTTTTGTAATATTCATCCGGCAAAGAATTTCGTCGTCGTCGTCGTCGCTGTTTTATATCGTTTTTCATTGTGGAATCTTGAAGCAGTCTCCAATCATTATTTTCATATATAAAATTCAAGTGAAAAAAAAATCTTCTATTCACCATTATTATACCTTTCACTTTCACTTTGCTCTGCATCTTCTGTTTTGCTTTAAATTTACCTTTTTGGTTCGGTTCGATGGTTTGCTTTTCATTCGTTTTTCTATTTCGATTCAGGTAATTGCTTTCGATGAAGAGAGAGAGAGAGATGCTCTTTACGTTGTGGTTGTTGTTGGTTATATCATCATCATCTTGACCTTGATTGCGGACTTTGTCTTCATCAATTTTTTTTTCTTTGCTTTTTTTCTTTTCTTTCTAATCATCTCATCAATGTTTTTTTTTCTTGTTGCAGGGAATAATCAAAATAAACGCTCCCTGAAGGCAAAAATCAACCAACTAACCAACCAACCATGATTTTCGTGTGTGTGTGTGTGTGGACATCATCATTCTATTCAACAACGAAGACCATCAAGTTTTTTCGATGATGATGATGATGATGATGATGGGCAATGATCTACGCTATTATCATCATCGATGCACGAAGGAAAAAAAATGTTCATGAAAGTTCATTCACAATCCAATTGAACAATACTATGATGAATATTGTCATTTGAATATTCAATTTCGATCGATTGATTGTCAAGGAAAAATTGCTATGATTGATACAAGAGAAAGGATTGAGAAACAAAAATTCAAATTCAAATGACCATCATCATTCATTTAAAGGTAATTTCCGATTTTTACGATTTCTTTCGATTTTTTTGTTTATTTATTTATTTTTTTTCGTTAAAATATTTTGACCACTTAATATGTTGACCGGAACATATTCGATTGATTCGTGTATGTATTCATAAAGGTGAACAAAAAAAAGGAGTCCACCTTTGTTTGTTAGAAAAAACGAATTTCGTTCCTGTTTCTTTTGCTTATTTCTTTTATGTAACCCAAACACACACACACACACGCATAAAAAAGCGAGTTGAAGAAATCTAAACATAACGTTATATGACCATCTGGTCCCTTTCGATTTTCTTTGATTTGATTTCTGATAAAAAAATGGTGATTGAAATTGACCCACATGCACCATACTGACCAAATGACCGACTGGTTGTTTGTGTGTGTGTGTGTCTGTTTGTCTGTCAAAGATTATTATTTCACCCAAAAGGGAACTTTCTTTCTCTCACTAGGTCTGGAGAAAAAAAAATTTTTTTCCTTATCTTTAGGGTCCCATTATACGATGAATGAACTAGGTGTGATAGAGAAAAATTTTTAAAAAAAAAATCAGGCCAGTTAAATTCAACAACAACAACAACGATAAAAAAACCGGTACCTAGCGGTCTAGTTTATTTTTTTTTACCTGACCTAGTCCAGCATTTTGCCGGTATCGATATCGGTGTGTAACTGACCATCATATCACATCATACTGGCCCAGTGAACTGCAACCCTTGTCTATGTTGTTAATGTGTGTGTGTGTTGTGTGTGTGCGGATAACCGGGTCATAACCAATGATGTCAGTCATGTTGTTCGGGTTTTTTTTTCATGCGCTTTCACCTTGTTGCGCCGGGTTTTTTTTTCTTCTTCATTTGTAATAAAGGCTTTCAAAAGCAGTACAGTTTGTGCGACCGGTACTACTTCTTTTTGTTGTTGTCCGGTATGAACTAAAAAAAAAAAAATTTTCTTTTCATAATTGAATCGATGATGCAGATGTTTTTTTTCCATTCCTTATAGATAATGCTGGTATAGATAATGAATGAATCAATTAATCAAATGATACCAGATTTCCAATGTTATTCTTGTGTATATTGAAGATTTATTACATAATCGATCCTCTTGAATTTTTTTTTCTGTTTTTCATTTCATTTCATTTCACTCAATCACTGAATGAATGAATGAATTACAGGAGCTGAGATTTGTATTGGATAATTTCTTGCAATTTGTGGCAGATGTGTAGCTGACAAAAAAAAAGTCGAATAGAATTCCATTGGACAGAAGAGTAATTATCAACGAAAACAACAAACAATGAGGCACCAAAGAAAGAAAGAAAGAAAGAAGAAAAAGAAATTTTAGATTCTCAGGTGTGTGTGTGTCGTGTGTCGTTTTTATTTTGAAGACAAAAAAACAACAACAACAACAAGAAATAGTTTGGTTAATTAATTTTTTGTTTCC